CGCCACCCGCAGCACCTGCCACGGCTTCAGCTCTCCATCACATTCTTCTCTCCAGGTGGAGGAGGCCTTGTTCTCCGCCCTCCTCTTGCTCCGGGAAGGGATGGGAAGGATCTCTACCCGGCCCTTTGGAGTTACCCGCATCTCACCTCATCAGCACTCCCTCCCACTCGCGGACTTAGAAGGCAAGTGAAGAGGGGGGCGCTGTCGCTCCCACAACCGCACCGTGAATAAGCCGCGGGCGCTCGGACGGCCCCGCGGGTCCGAGCCGCCAGCCCATCAAGTCGGGGAGTCCCTCTCCTGCCCCAAGGGCGGTCTACCTGGGCGCAGGAGTACCGCCTGCTACCGCTGGGTCTGCGGGTCGGCCTCCGGCCCCTGTGAACCCCCCTTCCCGGCGCCCGGGACGCGGCGGAGGGATCCGAGGGCTGGACTGACCTGTAGGGATTGAGGTTGCAGATGGTGACGGCGGGGAAGACGAGCTTGTCGCAGTTGAGGTTGATGTTGAGGCTGACGGGGTAGCTGAAGTACTCCCCGAAGAGCTGGCCGAACTGCCAGTACATCATGCCGAAGGCGCAGAGCCACAGCACGGCCCAGAAGGCCGTCTTCATGCGGTTGTGCTGGGAGCACACCAGGCGGATGGCGCCATGGATGGTGGTGGTGGTGCAGAAGAACTGGAAGAGGTCTCGGTAGGAGCGGTAGAACTCGATCAGGGCCTCCTCCTCCTCCGTGGGCTGCGGGGGCGCCGCGGGTTCGGGGCCCAGCCCCTGCTCCTCCCGCTGCTCTCCTTTCATGAGCCTGGGGGGGGGGCGGTCATGGAGGGCCGGGGGTCGGTGCCGAGTTCTGGGCCCTCGTGCCTCCCCCATCATCACCTTGACCCAGAGCGAGGCTGCTCCTGGCCAGGCCCACATCCCGCCCTGAGCCCCCTCTTTTCCGCCCCTCCCTCCCGCCCTCCCTCCACCTTCCCAGGCAGGAGCCGGCTGACCTGCGGGAGTCCGGGCCAGAAGAGCTGCGGCTGGGCTTCCCTGGGGAGCTACCCTTCGGGATTCTGTCCCTGCACCTGCCTTTCTGTCTCCTCAGCTGTCAGTCCGCCCTATCTTTAGTCCCTCCTGTAGGACCTCTGCGTCCCAGTGCTGGCTCGCTCTCTCTCTCTTCTTTCTGCTTCTCTTTGGGTCTCTTTCTCAGCTCTCTTCTTCCTTGCCTGTCTCCTGCCTGTGTGCCAGGCTCTCTGGTCCTGCCTCTCTTCCTCTTCCTCCCCACCTTGCCCCTCTCAGTCCTGGTGGGCTCTCTGCTGTGTCTCTGGCCCTGGCCTTGGGCCGTGTCCCGACTCCCTCTCTGTCCCAGGGACTGAAGGCCTCCAGGAGGTCTGAACCGCCTCCTACTCCCAGCTCCTGGGTTGTGGCTGGACTGGGACTGGTTCCTTTCCAGTTGAATCTGGCAGGCGAGCCTCTCCTCCCCCTCACCTGACAGGTGCAGCAGCCTGGCTGGGGAGCCCGCCCGCCAGGCTGGGATGGAAGCGACAGAAGCCTCATTAGCATCTCAATTAAAGGTGAGCAGGGCAGGGGGGAGGGGGGGTCAAAAGAGGAGTCTGAGCTGAGAGTTCTCCAAAGGGAGGAGAGCTCTGAGAGCAGGTGCCCAGGGAGTCCTGGGACTGGAGGGAAGGTGAGAGCCCTACCCCACTAGTAACAGTGGGGGGCTGACAGACAAGGAGACCAGAGACAGACTGACAGGGGAGGGCCGGAGATCATGGACAAGGACAGGAATCCTGAACACCAAGCCAGGAGGGCAACACAAAGAAAACGAACCAACCAGGATGAGGGGGACTAAAGCGGGGGAGACTAGGAGAACAGGGAAGGCAGAAAAAGGGAGATCCATGGAGGAGGACAGGATGGGCGCCTGGGAGGGAGGACAGAGTTGGAGGAGAAGGAGAGAGATGAGGCTGAAGGCGAGAGAGCCAGCCCTGAAGGGACTCTCCCCTCCCTGGCAGGAGATCAAGGGGGAAGAAGCCCCAAGTGGGCTTCCAGGAGCTAAGTCCCCTCCCTGGGGACTCCTTCCAAAGGCACCCCTGGATCAGCCTCACTCCCAGGTCTTGTAGAAGAAGAAGGGGTAACTGCAAGGTTCCTCCCTGCTCAATAAAGTGGGAACACCTCCTGGACCCACTGGGCCCTGGAGCACAGAGTGCCCCTCTGCCTCTCCCTCCATCCTCTTCCCTCCTGACTCCTCACTACCACCCCCTACCTTGTCCAGGCCAGGGAGGGGCCCAGGTGAAGCTGAAGGTTGGGCGGGGCCCTGGGACATTCTGTTCTTTTTTACACCATTGGCTGCCAGGCCAGGAATGTGTAATGTCCCCTGTTGTGGTCACGTGGTTGCAGGAATGTGGTTACCGAGAGGCAGCACCGAGAGGGGCCAGGCAGGGCACCTGGGCACAGACCTGAAGCCCAGGGCACATTAGGGACAGCAGGCACTGAGGGGACAGGGAGGGATGTGGGCAGCACTGGGTGTCAGGGAGGAAGCGGGTGGTCATGGCCCCAGTCTGCACCAGCCCTGGAAGGAAGGAAAAGCTCACTGGTCAGGGCTGTGTTTTTCCTCCAGAATCTCTGCTCCAAACTTAATCCAGCAAGAGGATAAAGAGTGAAGTGGAAGCAGTGAGCACACAGAGAGGGCAGGGGCAGGGAGAGGGCCCAGAGAGAGAGCCTGGGGAGGCACGAAGTCACAACCACACAGCCCAGGCCCTGAGCCTGACGGCAGGTCTGCCCTGGTGGACCCCCACCGGACCCCCACCGGAGGCAGCCCAGAGCATGTTCACTGGCTTCTCCCGCCTCCCGGAGGAGCAGACCTGGAATGTGTAGACACAGGCCCCGCCTGAGCACTGATGGAGTCGGATGGAAGAGGACAGGCATGCAACATAAGATAAGGACTCTCGGTGGCAGAGATAAGAGCTAAGTGCTGAGGGAGCCCCAGGGTGGCAGGGAGAGGCACTCACCCTGCGGAGACTCAGGAAGACTTCCTGGAGAAGGTAACGTCTCTGCTGCATCTTGGGGAACACGGAGGAGTGTACCAGGCAAATGAGAGGGAAGTGGGATACACCAAACTCAGGGCGCAGCTGGGTCCTGTGGCTTCCTGTCAGGGCAGGAGTTCTCTTGCGGCCTCTTCAAGTGAGAGGTGCTGTCAACCAGGATTCCCAGCCCGGCTTCCCTTGATGCCTGCGGAGGACAGCCCCCTCTAGGAAGGGAAAGACTGGGTTTTCTTTCATTTTCCAGATGAAGAAATTGACCCTCCACAAAAAGAAGCCAGTTTTCTGAGGGCACAGAACAAAATGGCAGCCAAGTGAAACACAAAATCAGAATTCTCCTGTGGGGTTGTCTGCTTAGGGTATTTGCCATTTATTTCCCATGACGAACCAGCCAGAGATTCATGGGGAATTGAGGCTCTCCCTGCACCCCCGCCTCCCCGCACCTGGCTTTGAAAGCTAGGGAGGTTCGCACACAGAGCCCGTGGGCTCATCAGCAGTCTGGGTACCAGATTACCTCCCTGGCTCTGTGAAAAGCTCTCTACACTGTCCCCACGTTCCCGCGGGACCGCGACACTCCTAGATCTTCCATTTTCCCTGGGGCCAGGTCCTTAAACAAGGAGCAATCCTACCTACAAATAAGGTATGCAGCACCCCGCCTGTTGGATCTGAAAGGTTCACAGAGGCACCTCCCAGTCTTCTGTATTCGCTAGCTGGTATCTGAAATCCAACCGTGGCTTAAAGCAGCGCAGCACATAGTTTTCATCTCAAGGGCTCTGTGAGAAGAATTGCAAAGTCTGGGCTGGGATGAGTGGGAAAGCTCGGTGTCCCTGTAACTGCCCAGCAGGGTACCAGGAGGCAGCGCATGCTTTGAAAAAGTGCCCTTCTAGATCTGGAACGGGCCAGATCAAGTTTGTGGTTGTGAGAAACAGAAATCTGAGACCTGCAGTTCTGTTTCTGTCGTGGCGCCATTTAAAATATTATCTTTGAAAGTGCAGAAATAATGCCCCAATACATTGTTGTCGCGATGCAACTTTCCAACAATACAGAAATATACAGAACAACAAAAGCTCCCCTTTGTTCCCTTTCCGACCCACCCCTCTGCCCAAGGAGAGTCGTCGTAATCTGTATATCCATCTGGATCTTTTTGTGTTTTTTTATAGGCCTACGTGTATTTTTTTTTAATTTATGCTTTTTTTTCATAAATGGGACCATGTCATAGGTATTCTGTGACTCCCATTTTTGCCTTTAAACTACGTGACTTTGAAAAAGTCACTTTACCTCTCTGGGGCCCTGTGCTCTCATTTGAAAAGTGAAATGGCAGAGGGGAGGGGGGGCGAGGCAGGCCAGATGGTCCCAAAGGCCCCTTCCAATTGACTTAAAGCAGGAGGGAACCAAGGCCCAGAGAAGCAAAGTGACGTGCCCACAGTCACCCAGGAGTCAGGAGGCGGGCCAGATGGAGAGCTGAGCCTCTTCATTTTCCATGCTCAGTGCCGCTCCCCTGACTTCCAGAGAAGTGGAGTCTTGCTCGGGTGGGGACCCAGGGCCTTGTTGTCCTCATTTTGGAAGTTCCCCCAGCCTCTCCCAGAGCCAAGCTGTTTCTTCCCTCCCAGCACTAGCCATCCCCTGACCCTGGGGTGTGGCCATAAAATGGACAAAGGCTACAGGGAGAGAAGTAAAATAGAGGGCCTGCAATGGGATGAGGTCATGAGTTCAAAGGGTCTTCTGGCCTCTTGCTCTCTGGGGAACAGGACGTGATGGAAATAATCACTTTCTCTCCCACACTCCCAGAGAAAGCCTTGTTGAGAATTCTCTGGCGGCACTTACCACTGGATACTATCATTATCCTGGTATGCGCGTGTGTATGTGTGTGGATTTGTGTGTGTGCGTATGCACAGATCGTACTATGAGTTCTCTGAGAACAGGCCCTAGGCCTATTCGTCTTGGTGGCCCCACTGTCTACTGGTCACTGTTTGTTGACCCACTCTGCAGAAGACAGCAAAATTAGCATCTTCAGACTCAAGGTTTATCTTTGGCAGAGAGTGACATGCTATGAGAAAGCATCTCCATCAAATATCCTGATTTCCTCTGATAACTTATTAATTTGTAATCTATCAATTTATCTAAATTTCCTTCACTTTTTCCATTTTAGCCTCTATCCTTCCTAGTGTAAAAAATGAGTCACTCAATTAAATGCAACTCTCTTTATTCTCACTACTTAGAGCTAATTAGCCTTTCAACACTGGGCTGCCCGCTGTGGAAAACAGCGATCCTTCTGTCTGCACTTATATGGTGTGAATTTCTCCTTAACCTAAAAGGATGCACCAGAAAATTCCTCCTTGCCACTCCTACTCCAGTCACCTGGCAGGAGGCTTAGAAGTTCACCATTAGAAGTTTATTCCTTTGGGTCAAGGCAGGATTTCTCTACCTTGGCACAAATGACAATTGGATAATTCTTCGGGAGAAGGATGGCCCTCACCCATGACACGTCTCTCAGTGTTTCCCAGACCCTTTCTAAGGGCACCAGTTGGCTAAAGAGCAGTGTGGGGAAGAGGAAAGAAAGAAAGAAAGATTATCTAAAAGAATCCATTCCTGGGGTGCCTCGGTGGCTCAGTCGGTTAAGCGCCTGCCTTCAGCTCAGGTCATGATCCCCAGGTCCTGGGTTCGAGCCCCACGTTGGGCTCCCTGCTCAGTGGAGAGCCTGCTTCTCCCTCTCCCTCTGTCTGCCACTCCCCCTGCTTGTGTTCTCTCTGGTGCTGCCCAAAAGAAATCAGTAAAACTTGAAGGAAGCTGGCAAAGAACACAAAGGAAAGAAACCAAGACAATGCTCTGCCCATAAAGAATTCATGGATCCCTGCTGTGAGTTTCCTCCACCCTCCCGGAGAAGGTTGGGTAGGCATAACAACCATTTATTGGTAAGCTTTGTCCATCGTGGTCCAGCTTAGAAACAGGAAAAGCTCTAAGTCTTTCAAGTGGAAGAAATTTAACTCAGGGAATTGGTCCATGGGTGATGAAGGAGATAAGAAGCCAACGGGGGACAGCGAGACAACCCAAAAAGCAGCAAAGCGGGAAGCTGCTACACCTCCCAGGGCTGGAAAGTCAGCAAGTCATGTAGCATTATAGACCCAGAGGCCCCCTGAGCCATTCGGCAGGAAGTAAATAGTGGGTGCTGCCCGAGAGGAGAGGGGATCATGAAAGGAGAGAAGAAAGAAACCCAACCAACCACAGGTGAGGTCCGATGTCTGAAAGCAGAGAGACAGGGAGAAAGAGCCTGGCTTCCTTCCTCCTCCCACCTGTCTTCCTATTGGCTGAACCTACCCAGAAGCCGGAGGAAAAAGGAATCTGGGAAATGTAGTTTCTAGTAGTGAGGCCGCACAGAGCAGAGGAAACTAGAGAACAGATTGGCAAGCAAACCAGCAGGTGACTGGCAAAGAAAAAAGAAAAAAAAGAGGCCCAGAGAGGGGAAGTGATGGGACCAGGCTTAAAGTCCAGATCTTAAGACTCTCGTTTAGGACCCAGAGAGTCCTCGAAGGCTGACGTGACAGCATGAGATTGGCAGCGGAAAAAAGAACGTAGTCCAGCCAGCTGGGTTTTAAAAAGATCTGAGATAGTGCTTACCTGCGAAGCAGGAGCCTTTTGACGTGCAGGAAATGTTCTGGGGAGATATACAGAAGCGAAAATTCACTGATTTGTATATATGAGATTAGTGTACTTTATGCATTTCATTGTTTATAAATTATACCTCAGTTAAAAGAAACAAGAGTTCCTCCTGTATTTTTTATCAAATCCTGTCATATTTTCAAATGAAATATGTCTGGGCTTTGCTTCCAAATAATTAAGGGAAGATTGGAAGAATGGAGGAGGGCTGTATGGAAGACATAAGACTGGCCGTGAGCCGAGCTGGAGTTCACAATATTATTTTCTTCCTTTTTGTGTATGTATATGTTATGTGCAAATTTCCATCATAAAAAGTAAAAAACAAAAAAGAGAAAAAAGGCTCTAGGGACCCTACACACACACACATACACACACACACGCCGCTTTATGCACTGAAGAGCTCAGTGGTGAGTCCAGTCCCAGCCCCAAATTCCCTTAACCCGGAAAGGGCATCGCCCTGAGCAGTGCATGCTGCTCTGAAATGGGCAGCCTTGGACCCTCCGTGTAAACACTTGCCACAGAGTGCAGATCTGAGGCCTGCACCAGGAGGGAGGAGTGAGATGTCTAAACTCAGGCAGGCCCATCACTGTCTTGGGAGCCCTCCTCCCCAGAGGTGCTCCTGCACCAGGACTTCCCAGCTCCCCCCCCGCCCCCCAAGAGCCTGTCTAGCCAGTCAGACCGACCAACGACCAACAACCGACAGACCAACCGACAGACCAACGGCAAGGATGAATGCAGAGCCCTGCAGGGAGAGGGGCAGGACAGGGTCCTGGTGACCTATCTCCAGAGAGAAATTCACCCCTCAGGCCAAAGGAGGCAGCGTGGTTGCTGGAATGAGCGTGGGACCCAGGAATCAGGAACTCTGGAGTCTGGGCTGGTTCCGCATAGACTGGCTAGGTGATGTGGGCAAGACCTCATCATTTACTCCATAAATATGTACCAGACCCTTGGAATGGGCCAGACTGGGCTAAGCACTGGGACCCAGACTTAAGGATTCCATCCAGGCCGTTGCAGAACTCACTGCCTCGTGGGGCAGGAGGCCAAAAGCAGCAGGTTCCAGACTGCAATGGGTATGGGAGCTGTGCAGCCTGGGGTGGGGGTGCTTCCCAGAGCCTTGCTGAACCTCAAAGGACAGATGCGAACTAGCCAGGAGCACAGAGACTTGAAGACCAGCGAGCCTGGCATCAGGGGACATGGGGTTGCTGTTCATGGGTTGCAGGGAAATGATGGGAAGAAAGGGGGTAAGGGACGAGACCAAGCCCCCTGGAATCCCGATCTCCTCTATGTGGCCCCCCTCAGCCTCTGTCTTCTCACCCTTAAGGCGAGCGGGCTGGACAAGTGGGCTCTCAGCCTCCTCCAAGTGCAGAGGGATTCAGAGGCTGCTGGGTGAGGAAGATGGGCCTGAGGGCCGAGGCTGCCCAGCTCCAGCGCAGCCGCCCCTACTCGTCTTTGGGAGCTGGGTCTACCCATTCCTCCCTGTCATCTAAGGACTGGGGAGCAGGGGCCACTGCCCTCTCAGCAGTGTCTTGTAGGTGACCTGTGCCCACTAATGTGGATCACGCACAGGGAGGGCCAGCTGACTCGTGATTCCTTTGTAGCTTATCTTTAAAAGTCACACAACAGGACCAGAACCCCCAGGCGTCCAGATGGATGCCAAGTGGGACTTCTGTTTCCCAGATGCTGCAACTGGCTGGCCGAATGGGGGCCTCTGCGGGTCCCTGCACTCCCCCTGTGTGTGTCGGTCACGGGCCCTTCCACTTTCAGCTCTGGCACCCAGCTGGACACGGCTCTGTCTCTCTCCGTCTCTCTGTTCCAAGGCAGCTCTGCCCTGCTCTCGGAGGCCCATCTCTGTCCCCCTGGCTCTGCGGCCCGTTTCCCACCTAGCCTGCCCCTGCAGTCCTCCCCTCCTGGCCAGGCTTCCGAAGAAGGGAGGAGGCCCGATTCCGGCCCTGCTGCCCTCACGTGCTTTCCCGGCCGCCCCCTCCCGCCCTGCATCGGGGCCGCCAAGCCTGTTCCTCTTCCCCGATTGCGACAGCTGCCTCTGCTCCCAGAGCTCCCTGTCCCCGCCCCGAAGGCCGGCTCGCTCCACTCCCACTTCCTGAGCCCAGCGCTGGAGCCCTGGAGGCCAGGCCAGGCCGCTGGGCCCCCGGGGGCGCGTCAGCCCCAGCCCTGTCGCAGGCCCCGGGCTCGGGAGGCTGCCCTCACCGCTGCCCAGGACGTGCAGGCCTCCCACCTTCCTCCCCCGGCCTCCGCCCCATCTGGCCGACTGGCCGACTGGCCGCCATGCGCCTGCCCTGGGCCGCCTCCCCCTGCGGCCTGGCCTGGGGGCCACTCATCCTGGGCCTCTGCGGTGTCCTGGCAGCGTCCCAAGCCCAACTGGTGAGGGCGGGGCCCGTGCAGGTGGGTGGCGGCGGGCTTGGGAGGGGAAGAGGGGGTCTGGGCAGCCCACTCTCTAGTCCCTCTGACCTCCCCAGCTGACCCCCGAATAATTCTCCCCCCACCTCCATCTTCCCTTGAAGAAGCCCCCATACCACACAGAGAACCAAACCTGCCGGGACCGGGAAAAGGAGTACTACGAACCCAAGCATCAGGTCTGCTGCTCCCGCTGCTCCCCAGGTGAGAGGCAATGGCCCAGGAAGCGGGGGACGGGCGGTGGGTTGCGGGGGACTCGGGCCACCTCGCTGCCTCGGGGGGAAGACAAACACCATCTTGCAGGAAAGCCAGCCGGCCATCCTTCACGGGTGGCCAGCGAGAGGACAGGGTCCCACAGCGAGCGGCCGAGGAGAGGGGGGGCCGGGCTGCCCCGACACCGCGGTGGCCCCACTCCCATTCCCGCATTCTAGGCATGCACGTCTCGGCCGAATGCAGCCGCAGCCAGGACACCGTTTGTGCCCTGTGTCCCGAAAATTCCTACAACGAGCACTGGAACCATCTCTCCATCTGCCAGCTGTGCCGTCCCTGTGACCAGAGTGAGTGGTGGGGGGGGC